AACCAATGAAATATAAATGCCTGGTACAAAAGGCAACAAAGTCCCTAGTTGCCACCACTGAATAAAAAGGTTGATGGGAGTTTCCATCTTACCAATGGAATTTCCAGTAGATGCAGGCAGAGAATAGTCCTCAGAGCCTGTAATTTGGTTTGCTCCCATCACCACTGGTGCTTTTAAAAGAAAACAGCTGCTGCTTTATTTTTTATTTTATTTTTAAATTGTGGCAGCCAGAAAGTTAAAGGAATGATCCCTTGAAATCTATTTTGACAGAGGCCAGCATTTCAAAACGAGAAGAGACAGCCCAGTTTTTAGTTTCTTGGTCTCTAGGGAAATTTTCAAGGATATCAGGGGATAATTGCAAAAGGATTCCTGGGAAGTCGTTAGGGTGGGGTTTTTTCAAGAGGAGGAGAGTGGGAAGTGGGAATAGCAAGGTTGGCAAGCTGTGGAATTAGCCAGGTTACAATATTGACTACTCTGGATCAGATGCTATTTGCACTATTCTAACCCTTAGTATTTTTTTGTCTGACAAGGCATATGAACCTGCTTAACTTTAGGCAACATACACTGTCAAACCTACAAATCAGTGGGATTCCCCAGGGTGTGAAATGCCTTTGGCTGCTTTTTCTCTGCCCTGTACCCCTAAACCCAGGGAGATTTCTCAAGGCAACAGTGTTACTTTGTATGAACAAGTGTCAAAATCTGGCCATAGACTTTAAAAGTCTATCAAGCATCTTGTTTTATTATATGTTATTATTAATTTTCCATTTACTTCTCCAGAGGTATTTAATGTTACTTCTACCTTTTATCCAACCTGTTTCTTTTATATACTGACCTTGGAAATATTTACTCCAGCACTTAATGGTAAAAAGGTCCACCTCAGCATGATTCTCTGCTGCTGTTAACTATGGCTGTTAGGTGTCAGTGCAAAGTGAGCATAAACACTCATGTTTTTATGAAATAATATTTGAAAAGTTGCATTTTGCAGGTGCAAAGGACTACAGGAAATTATAGGAAATCAATGCACTGCTTGAGAAAGCAAGTATTCCACCTCAGTGCTATCAGCAGCAGTGACCTTTCCTGGTTAATAAAAAAAGGTGACAGAACCTGGCACCCTGCTTGTCTTTCAGAGCAAATGTCCCAGTTTTGACAAGGATGTTCCAGATAAGGTGGTAGGAAAATTTCTTATGGGTTTGTAGATCTGGAAGGGATTGCTTGGCAAGATCTTAGGTGTCCCTCGCAGGGAATTTTCCAGAACCAGCTACACACACATCTACTCAAGCAGGGGATGGGTTGGGGCTTTGCAAGGTCCCTCTCAGCCAGCACATTACAGTGATGCCATAAAATATAAAACAAAGCCTTGAGTGTCAAGATACACTGGGGCCCATGGAAATCCTGGAAGTAGGATGATGTCTAACACAGTTCTTAGGAAACATACCCATAGTCATCTCTGGGAGCAGCTCCCCAGCTGCTGGTGTCTGAGAGAAGCCTGTACTGCATCAGTGTCATTCCCTACGTCCCTGCCCAAGCCTTTTCTCCCTCGGTGAACCCCGGGGCTGTGGCAGCAGTCAGTGCACCGGTGCTGGGCCACCAGCAGATGGGAGTCTCACCGGCATGAGGCCAGGGTAAACTGCTTCTGTGGCATCCAGGCTCCAGAATTAAATAACTGGGTGTAAAATTAAAATATCCCCTAGAAAGGCTCTTTTTCACCGTTGCTGGTCAACCAGAACTCAGGGAGGAGTTCAATAGATTCCTCGGTTTTCAGCTGAAGCTGGACGCTGCTTAATTTCTATTCAACATGGTCATCAGACCAAAGCTTGGGGTTAATCTCACTCAGTGGCACCAAGGTCCTGGGAAAAAGCAAGGCATGTGGGAGAAACCTGCTGAGAAGACAGTAACGAGCGCTACTAATGAGCAGGGAGGGAATCAAACGCACTGTATCAAAGGCACAGCATCTTTCTGCAGGCAAACAGCATTCCCTCTTCACCTACAAGTCAGCTGCAGTTCAGGCCTCAGCAGTAACAAGTAATTTTCTTCTGCACCATGTTACTAGTACTTTTTGACCGTTACTTTTGGTTATCAGTGTTGCCTTTGCAGTCATAAGTAGCTCCAGCCGTGGTCTGAACTGCATGGTGTGAGGCAGTGCAGGTCGGGAGCAGGGTGGCCCTTCCATGGGGAGTTCACAACCTGTCAGGGAAGGAACCATTGCCATTCCATAGCAAGTACTAATTTCTCAATTCTTCCAATTAACCTGGTAAAGTGGCAGATTAACAGAGCCAGGATCAGTGCTTGCCATTTCACGTGTGCTGCCGAGAAGTTGTATTTTCATGTGTGCTTTGTGCATCTGTTGTTCTCCAGCCACCAGTGGTGCCGGGGAGGGAGAGAGGAGCTTCTCCACTGCAGACTGAACCTGATGATTCCTTTAGAGATAGCTTGGGATAATAATTTGAGACTCTGAGACCTTAATCTTCTGCCCTTCTACACATCTGGGATCACCTTTCTTCTCAGGTAAGGGCCAGCCACTGTTGTCTGTCTTAATGGGCTAGAGTTGCTCTTTCTTTTCTGTATGGTGGGGCTGCAGGGGGAGGGGGATGGTATGAGGCAGCAGCATGTGTGACCAGGGAGCTTTATCAGACACACAGAAATAGGCAACAACAAAGGCCTGACCCCCCAGCAGCTGGTGCCATTGCCACCAGTCAGTCCTTACCATAAGGCACCTCTTCCCCCTTGCAAATGTGTTTATCCTTCTAAAAGGGATTTGTTGGAAAATGTGTTTGTCCTTCTAAAAAGGGTGCATTTGCAGCTGAGTCCACATAGGAATCCCATGAAATCCTCATGGCGTGCTTCCCCTTCTAGCCCTGCAGATCTGAGCAGCACGTTCACCTCGGACTGCTGGAGGACCAGCCCTGCATATCTGATGTGAACACAGATGGCCTCGGCCCTGCCCCCGGGGATGAAATACAGACAGCAGGTAGCAGGACTCAACAGGTCAGTGTCTGAGTTTCAACTGGGACGTTTTACTGTATTTTCTTTAAAGGGAATTTCCAACTATGGGTGAAGATTGGTCAATTCTATGGTTTTTATTTCCCCTGGTGAACCCAGGGAGGCTGGGTCAAAGGGATGATTATTTTCATTAGCTCCCCTAAGAGCCTTGGGCTAGGTTTCCTGGTGTTTCAGTACTGTGAGATACAGATAATGAAAAATTCACCAACAGTCTTGAGTACAACATCCACCTCCTGAAAAGCTACTGGGAGGAGATGCCTACTGCACAGGCTGGATACGCCTTCAGGCTCTGAACCTCACTCTGTCCCCAAGAACAGCAGCCCCAGACATGCTTTGAGGACACCCATAGAACCACTCTGGTCTCTTCTAATGCTGACAAAACCCATAAGTCTTTATTCCCCTCTGAGGTTACCAGAAGCTTCTTCAGGAACAAAAATAAAGGGAGTTTTCATTTTGTAGTGCTGTTACGAGGGTAACACCTGTAAGCAGTTACGAAATTTGTTCACACTCACCACTCTCTCCTCCCCACTTGGATTCAGGCAGTCTCCTTGGCCCTGGGGTTTCTCAGCCCATCTTTACAGGTGAGGCAGAGACCAAATCTTTGCAACTCACCAAGGGGTCAAAATTACTGCACCCCTTGCAACAGAGAGCAAGCTGCAACTGCAGTCCTTCCCAGCCAGCAGCTCTCCCCTAGCACTATGTCTCACTTGCCTGTGGCAGGGGTCACAGTCCCTCCCTGCACATATCAAACAGGCAGAGGCTCTGATGCTGAGGTTATCTTTCCAGCTTGGTTACTGCACACACCGGTGTGCTCTTGCAAGGAGGGATATTACAGTCTCAGTTGTGGTCTCATTTTTATTGCCTCTCTCTAGACCATCCAACAGGGGCTTTAAAGACCTCTGTAATTCCATGGTCATAGCTCAACTTGGCCTGCAAGATGTTGTGCATGTTTTTACTTCATTTCAGCCTCCTTCACTGCAATGAATTTCTCCTCCTGGTTTACTCTGCCCTAAATGAGGGCAGAATGAAGCCCAGCATATGCATGCACCCAGGCTTTCTTTATCATTCCCGGGGGCTCCTCCTTGAGCTGTCCTCTTTTTCTTAAAGTTAAGTGTTTGGGGGCTGAAGAGAAGCAGGAATGAGTGTTGTCAGTGGGAATCCAGCTCTCAGCCTGGCTCTCTAATTTGGCAGGTGGCCTTTGAGTAGATCTTGAGTGTTTTACAGAGCTGGGTGAAGAGCATTGCTATTTCAAAACTGGGGCAACATAAGCTCAGGGCTGGTTCTGTCTGTGATTACAGAGCCTGGGGGATAGGGGATGCAGTAAGAGAACTTTGTGCTTCTGCTTTCCAAAAACATGCCGAGAGCAGTAGACAATTTTGTCCTCCTTCTATAGAAATTTATTGCTTGAGGTAGAATTAGTCAGAACCATTATTGCTTTCAGTAAAACTCTGCAGGGCCGAGGGTAGCCAAAAAAAATACTAAAAATGAAGAAGAAGAAGAGGTGTGTTTTAAGGCCACGAAACTTTGCCATGCTTACGAAGCACTGACCGTGCTGAGAAAAGTCACCAGGAAACTCCCGAGCCTGCCAGCACATCAGCGACTCTTCCCTTCCCCTCGGGGAGTTTTAAAGCCGTGACGGGAGCTCGGCAGGGAAGTGCGCACTCCCGAGCGCTGGCAGGGAGCGGACGCGGCACCGGGCGAGGAAACCCCCCCCAGCCCCGCACCCCCGGCCCCCGCCCCCGCGGCGGAGCTGGACGGGGCGAGCCCAGCGGGGCACTCGGGGGGCGAAGTTCCCCTTCCCGCGGCTGAGCCGCCCCGTGTCACTTCCTGCCGGCGGCGGGAGCGTACCGGGGCCCCGGGCGCGGAGCGGGGCGGGGCGGGAGCGGCGCCCGGGGCGGCGGGGCTCGGCGGGGCTCGGCGGGGCTCGGCGGGGCTCGGCGGGGCTCGGCGGGCCCTGGCCGCGGGCGCTGCGCCGCCGGGCTGCGGCCGAGGATGCGGCGGCGGAACCTGGTGCTGCGGCTGGTGCTGGCCGCCGGCTTCGGCTCGTTCCTGGTCGTCCTCTTCTACTTCCAGAGCAGCCTCAGCCCAGGTGGGTCCGGGGGCGCCGCGCTCTCGGCAGGACTCCCGGCAGGAGCGGTGGCGGGGGCAGGGGAGGGTGCGGGCGGAGCGGGGCCGGGGAGCCCCGCACGGCGGGCAGCGCCTTGCTCCTGGAACCCCTCGGGTGTCGGTGAGAGCGGGCCGGTCCGCCGGCGGGTTGAAGTTCGGGTGAACTCGCCGGGGGTTGCACATCCCTCGGCTGAGACCACTGAACTTCGCCGCTGCGCTCGCCCGTAGTGCGTGGCCGGCGGTACCGTCCCGGCGATGCTGTTCCGCAGCGAAACTCGTGTGTCATTTCTAAAGCCGCCTTCTTTCGGGTGGATGTCCCATTCGAGCATGAAACCGCTCAGCTTCGTGTAGCCCTGCCGAGGCTGTGCCGGGGTTGGGACGGGAAAGGGGAGCTCCTCTGTCCCGAAAGTGCCCACTTACACCCGCGGTCACTAAAATTCCTGGGGAATCGGTTTGAATGGCTCAAGGGACTTCTCTCGCGTCCGCTCTTAAAAATTTCTTCCACATTGGGAAACAATTCAGAACTCAAATATAAACAGTTTTGTACTAGAGGGGTAATTTATTTCCCTGCCCGATTTCTGCTCTTTTGGGGAAATTAGCTCCTCTTTCCTAAGAGACGTTGTTGGGTAATTCCTGCCGTTTTAACAATGTACTAATGTTTCCTGAGTACAGCAGCAATCCATCAATGGGGCCTTTAAAGTTACATCTTAAAATTCAGAAGACTGATTTGACTGAAACGTTAATGGAATTTTATCAGCGTGGACTAAATGAAATGCGATTTTCCTCTTATAGGGGCTGCTCCATCACTTTAATGTGTTTTTTTCCCTAAAAATAAAAAAGGCATAACTTGTTGGCTGAGTAAGATTGAAAAGGAGTTGGGTTTCAGCAAGCATTTGTTATTTCTAGATGAGCATGTGAAGTTTGTCAAATGAATTCAGAAATCCCAGAAGACTACAATCAGTATTGTATTCCTTAGTAACATTTTTTAAAAGAAATAATTTATGCATCCTAATTTTGTATTGGGACTGCTCAGTAAAAAGTGCAGCGCTGAATCAGCTTTAATCTTCAAGGCTCCTAATGGAGAGATGATTGTGTTTTACGCTGGATACTCTTTCTAGCATCTGACTGGAAAAAATGTGGCTCTTTTCAGGACTGTTTTTCAAAAAGAGACTTCTGCAGAAGGTCTAAGTCAGCAGAACTTTCTGTGCTGAGTTGATTTTAATCCTTTGCCTGATCTCAACACTGTTTCACAGAGTTCCCGTGAGGCAAGTTGAACATGAGTCAGCAGTGCCCTGGCAACCAGGAGGGCCAAACATGTCCTGGGGGGCATCAGGCAAAGCATCTCCAGCTGGGCGAGGGAGGGGATTGTCCTGCTCTGCTCTGCACTGGGGCAGCCTCACCTTGAACATTGTGGCAGTTTTGTGCACCACAATGTAAGGAAGATATTAAGCTATTAGAGAGTGTCCAAAGGAGGGCAATGAACATGGTGAAGGGCCTTGAGGGGAAGCCGTGTGAGGAGACTGAGGGGAGACCTCACTGCAGTTACAACTTCCTCGTGAGGGGGAAGAGGAGGGGCAGACACTGATCTCTTCTCTGTGGTGACCAGTGACAGGACCTGAGGGAATGGCCTGAAGTTGTGTCAAGGGAGGCTTAGGTTGGATATTAGAAAAAAGTTCTTCACCCAGAGGGTGGTTGGGCACTGGGACAGGCTCCCCAGGGCAGTGGTCACAGCACCAAGCCTGACAGAGTTCAAGTAGTGTTTGGATGATGCTCTCAGGCACATGGTGTGAATCTTGGGGATGGTCCTGTGCAGGGTGAAGGGTTGGACTTGATGATCCTTGTGGGTCCCTTCCAACTCAGCATATTCTGTGAAAGGAAAGTCTGTGAAAGGTCAGAGAAAACCAGGTGACAGTAATGGTGATGGCATCTCACAAGGGGTTTGAGGGATTTTGAGTCTGTAGTGCTCCCTTGAGAAGTGCTGGACAGCTGAGACTTTAGGAATTGCAACTACCTGCAAATCTGTTCCTTCATATGGGGCAAGTGTGACTTTTGAACCTTCTATAGATGGTGATAGGTCTGGGGTAGGGATCCCCAGCTACTGGAACCAAGTAATGTTTGTCACTCAGTGGGAGCCCGTTTGTGAGGGTGGTGAACACTATCTGCAGATTTGCCCCTTAAGGTTCACCAAAGGGGTGAGTTAAAGTGATAATCATGTTCCTAAAATCTGCTTATTTTCTAGCCACATAGTTTTCTCCCTGGGTCCAGCCTCCATATTTGTGCCATTTCTTTCCCTTATTATTTCTCAGTTTACAGTTTTTCCTTTCCTCTTCAGTTCAGTGAAAAACACACACTAGCAGAGGAAAGGTCATTACCACATAGAGGAAAGAAGCAAGCTAAAGGTTGCTTCATTTTTTTTATCCCAAAGGAAAGCAAACTGAGGCCAATTATTTGAATTTTAGAAGTTACAAGTCACAATAATAGGTAAACAATTTGCAAACAAAAGTGTCATCTTTAAAGTGATGGTTGCCTTGAGGTTATTTGGAGTTCTAGTTGGCTGGTGTCATTTGCTTTCTATATAATAATGAAGAAATATGCTAGAAAAAAGCAACAATGCTATGAGTTTCCCCTAGGAGCAGTCAGATCCTTTCTCCATCATTAGCAGGATTGAGCAGGTTGCTTTCCTGGGCCACCCACAGCCCATTACATGTAATATGCTGAATTAATCCTTGCTAACAGCATGTAGAGACCGAACCATCCTATGGTCAGGACAAGGAAGACAATATGGGAAGAAAGATAATATAACCAGAAACCTTTAAGTTTGGTAGTGCTAATGGCTCACTCAGCGTGGGAAGCGGGAATTAACTCTTCCATTTGCATTGCCCACTTATAACTCCATCCGGGCAGTTGTGCACCGGAGTGGTTTGCACTGAGCTCCATGGCTGTGCTGAAATAAGACTTTCTTGTTCTGCCTCAGGAACACCCACATGCCAGGCTGTGCTGAAATAACTCTGCTTCTAAATGCTGCTGTTGGTTATTTTGGTGCTGGGCTGAATTTGTGGCAGAAGTCAGTGGCAGAATTCAGTGAAGTACAGTGGCAGAATTCCCCGTTGTACCTCCTGGAGGCAGAAATGGGCTCGGTGTGTTTGCCAACCTCGCTGGCACTCAGGAGAGGTGGGACAAGTCTTGGTGCTCCACAGGGAGAGCAGCCATGTGTGGGCTTGTGTGCTTGAGTGCGCCCTGCCTTTGTGGCGCTGATTGTTTTTTGTTGACTTTCCTTGCCAGTGGCTGTACCAGTGAGCTGGCACAGGGGCTGTAGTCCCAGGTCTCTCCTGGCCCTGGGGTGCAGCTGTGCCTGTGGACTGTCCCTTGCTCGGTTCAAGTCGGTGGTGACCTGTCTGTCCTGTTGACCTTTGGCTGTCTCACTCCAGGCTCACAGACACATGGCCAAGGGCAGGATGTCTGCATTGCAGGAAGGTGTTGAAGAGCACACAGGCCACAGGAGTTTCCAAACACTGCCACAGCATGTAGTTCCATACTGCTGGAGCAGTCACCTTGCAGCATCTCCAGCCTTCCTGCATCTGAGCTGGTGTTATGGACAGGTATGCTCAGCTCCTGGGCAAACCTCATGACATCTCAGCTTGATTCAGGAAATGATGAGGGCCATCAGGACGACTTGGCTGTTTTGTTGTCACCCCACAGCAATTCAGGAGATCCCGCCTTGCGTTGGCATGATTGTCATCTGTCTTCTGAGCTGATCTGCTCTTTCCTTCAGGAATAGTGCACCATTAGCTGTGCTAACTTCTGCACACTGTACACTATCTGCACAGAGCTGAGAATAAGCAATGGGGCTCCCAGAACGCTGTTCCATTTCACTCTAGAGGCAGCACATCTAGGCTGACACAGAAGGAGATACTGGAGGCTGCCAATCCCTGTCTACATCAGAGTTTTAATTGCTGCTGTTCTCAGGGGCACCACACAGATTTTAGAGACAGTGGGGGAGCTGGGATGACTCTGCTAGTACAGATGTGGGGTAGAGGGAAGGGGGAACAGCTGAAGGAGGTAGAGGGAGGTAAGTGGCAGGTGCTAAAGCCCTGCGTTCGTCTGCATCTGAGGTTTCTGCAGACCACTGCTGTGGGGCCACCCCAATGGTAGGTCTTTGGGGAAACTATGAGGAGGAAAATTGTACTGACTTCCAGAGAGCTGGAAGGTTTTCTCCAATAAGAAAGAAAGAAAAGCCCTCAATCTCAAAGTACTCCTTTATTTTTGCTCAGGTTCTGCCCGTCTGCAGCATCCAGCTGTTGTTTCTTAGGTCTTTTTAGCAGCACTCGTTTAATGTTGGCTTCTGCAGTCCCCATGTTGTTTGACAACCTGCTGTCAGCACGAGCTGTTGAACTTCATGGGGCTTTGCAGGTGAGACATACTCAGCCTTTGGTGTGACCCTTTCACAACAAGAGATACCAGACTGTAGTAGTGCCAAGGTTGTGATACTGGTCCAGAAAGGTTTCCGAGTGAGAAAGCAGTAAGATCCCTCTCTTCATCCTTATCTGCCCCTGCATCAGTCAGTTGACCTCCTCTGGGCACTGATAGAGCAAAGCCTTCTCCAGCCTCACCTGGAGTGGAGATGCCACTTCATCAGCCCAAGAGAGAAGGACTGAGGTGTTACAGCAGGAGGAGCAGCAGTGCCAGAAGCCACACCAACACATGTAGCAGGTATCACAGACCTCAGGAAACTGTCTCATCATTGTGACGTTCTTAGCCCTCTGATGTGCCAAAGTGAGTAATGGAAGACACTTGCTGCCACCATTCTGCCAATTTTCCAGTGATTTCAGTTGCCCAGTCTAACATCTCTCAGCACCAGCAAGTCCTGGTGAAACTCTCACTTCTCATTGTTCCAAATCTTGTCTTTCAAGTTTTCTGAGCTATGCGTCCAAATCTGTGGTTGCTCTTGTGAAATCTCAGTCAGCTCCATCCTTGTGCCTAAAG